AGAACAGAGAGAGCTGTGGGGGTGGCGGCGAGGAAAACTGAGCTGGAGACCACATTTTGTTGCTGCAGAAACCTTTGTCCTCTGTGAGACACTGTGAAGTGCTATTTGGATGTCATCTGTCCTGGTGGAGTCACCAGGGGAAGACAGCTCTTTTCTCAAGAAAACACACCCTTGAGAGAGAATGACTGCCCTTCTTCAAGGACATTTCTTCCACCAGCTTTCAATGACTAGACTCCTCCCTGTCCAAAGCCCCCATGTTGGGCCGGCCCTGTGGCTTGGTGGTTAAGTGCGCGCGCTGCAATGCTGGTGGCCCGGGTTCGGATCCCGGGTGCGCATCAAGGCACCACTTCTCCGTCCATCCTGAGGCCGAGTCCCACATACAGCAACTAGAAGGATGTGCAGCTATGACATACAACTATCTACTGGGGCTTTGGGGGGAAAAAATAAAATAAATAAAATCTTTAAAAAAAAAAAAAAAAAAAAAAACAAAGCCCCCATGTAGCACATGACACGCATCACTGTGGGTGACCTCCAAGAGAAGGAAAGCCTTGGGCTGCAGCACTTCATGGACCGAGGTTCTGGCCCTGCTCTGTTACCTACCAGTTGTGTTTCTCCATCTTTCCCATCCTCCTTCCCTCCTTGGTAAGAGGACTTCACTGGGTGGTTCCTAGTATCTCTTAAAGCTCTAAAATGCTATGACTTTGTAATGCTCATACGATTATGGATTTCAGCCCTTTGGGAAGGGGTGGGAGAAGACACTTTTTACTCTTAGGTATTAAAACTGCTTCCTGTCGCTCTGTTAACCAAAGCAGACAATCTCTCATTAGTTACTTCACAGGGAGAACAGAACTAACGGTGTTTGTCGAAGTGTCAAAACCTCATTAACATGTTTACCGCGGGTGAGTGAGATCTTTTTTCATGTTCTTTTCAACATGAAAACTTCCTTTCATAAAGTAATACATAGAACTAAAAAAATAAGGAGATGCTATGGTAACCACTTTGGTCTGAATAACACATCTGTTTTTGAAGAAAGAATGAAAATTAGAAAAAGAAATATGCAGAAATGTAGTCATTTTCCTCCTCCCTCCAGGAAAGAAATCTGGCCTCTGTTTTGAGCCAAATATTTGAAGATGGCCTAGTTAGAAGTATAGTCAAAGAAGTTTATAACAAGAGAATAGGACTGAGAGAAAGGACAACCCCTAAAAGGGTTGGTGCTAAAAGTAAGGTCTTCTTGTCCTTTGAAAAGAACAACTAAGAATTACTTTGATGATGTTAAGATGCTGATTTCTAATGAATGTGGGTCAATTTATTTCCCATTTTACAGAAAGGGATACAAAATTTCTTGGAGAATTAGGAAAAAAATGATTTTATTTTTCTCTTACTTGGGCAACTTAATTTTACTCTTACTCTTCAAGAGAGGTATGTTTTTGTGTTGCTAAATGCATTTAGACTTAATCCAATCCGTCCTTCCTCAGTTCATCTCTAATGGATAAAAAATGCTACCTACTGGTAATTATCTCTAGCCTGCTGGGAAATTAACAGGCTGACCTGATGGTATAATTTCACCTTTCCCCTTACAGTTCAAGAGGTCAGGGAAGCCAATGTTGGTCTGAGTGCTGTGCAACTGTCAGTAAGGATTAAAGGGAGTGACTCATTCTTCCTTCACACTTTACCCATTGCCATTTCCCTGGCAGCTGAATCTTTTCAGAAAATGGTGCCTTGGAGAGGAAATGTAGGAGAGAGAAGAGACGAGGAGGGAAAACATTTGCCCCATATGTTTTATATCACTTCATCCCATACACTCCACAGTGTCATAATGTTTCTTTTTTTTCCCCCTTGACATTACTATTTTTTTTTTAAAGTCATGGCGTCCCTGAACAAAGGGAAGCAGGAACTTTTTTTTTTTTAATTCTTTTTTTTTTTTATAATTTTATTTATTTATTTATTTTTCCCCCAAAGCCCCAGTAGATAGTTGTATGTCATAGTTGCACATCCTTCTAGTTGCTGTATGTGGGACACGGCCTCAGCATGGCTGGAGAAGCGGTGTGTCGGTGTGCGCCCGGGATCCGAACCCGGGCTGCCAACATCGGAGTGCGAGCACTTAACCGCTAAGCCACGGGGCCGGCCCGACATTACTATTTTTTTATCAAAAAGCTTGATTCAGTTAAATGATTCAAGGAGTTTCTTTTATTTAAAAATAATCTCTGAAACAAAGATTCAGGATATAAGCTAATGCTAGACTATTAAAACAGTCTTCAGGAACAAGAATATCAGGTGCAGCTGTCCCTCAGTATCCTTGGGCAATTGGCTCCAGGACTCCCATGGATAACAAAATCCCCGGATGCTCAAATCCCTTATACAAAATGGCACAGTATTTGCATATAACCTACACATATCCTCCCATATACTTTAAATCATCTCTAGATTACTTATAATACCCAATACAATGTAAATTCTGTGTAAATAGTTGTTATATTGTATTGTTTAGGGAATAATGACAAGAAAAAAAAGTCGGTACATTCAGTACAGACGCAACCATCGTAGGCCTTTCCATCCAAGGTTGGCTGAATCCTTGGATGCGGAACCCAGATACAGAGGGCCAACTGTATATGGCAGGAGCTCTATAACCATTTCATGATGAATAAATAGACATAAGAGCAAATAAACAAGTAGTAATGCCCTAAGTAAAATATGTGAATGTTGAGCTAATGCAGTTGTTTTATAGATTCTCACATTTAACAACTGCCTAAAAAAACTAAAATATATGATATGGTTCATAAGATAAACAGCATATCTGTAAAACCTTGCAAAAAAAGTTATCTGAAGTTACACATATGGGCTTATAAACACAAAGTGGTATTCATAATTGCTGCCTTTTCTAATACGCCTCACAGACTTGTAGAATGATAGAGCTGGGAGGTACCTTCCTGATCACTTCATCACCTATGCAGTCTTCTCATTTCACAGATGAGTAAACAGAGGCCCAGAAAGGTTATGTGATTTGTCTAAACACACACAAGGTTAAGAAATGACTGAGGTAGAATCGGAATCTGGGTCTTTTGGCTTCTAAACCAGTGCTCTTCCTACTGCATTATATACCACAATTTACAAAAAAAATTCCCCCAGTTATTCAGGGCCCTAAGCCCTGAAGTTGCTACCTCAGCTCAAATCAAGAACTAATTCTACTGGGTTTCCTGATTCTAGCACAGACAGAACATGATGGTCAGAAGATGAGAGAAATCAGCACCTACAAGATCAGCATCTCTCATGAGTCTGGAAACGGAGGGGTGAAAATCCTCTGGTCACAGTGGTAATATACAAATGGAATGGATCTCTGATGCAACAGGCAAATGGTATGGACTTGGACACATGAAACATGTTTTTAAACCCATGAAAATACCAAAGCAACTTATATGAAGTAGGCCTTCAGCTCAACAATAGGCTTAGGGCAGCTGTAAGAACGAGGTACCTCCTCTCATATTTTAGTTCTCTTAGACCAAAATGTATCTATCGACCATAACTGGACTGAAATTGTCACCTTACTTTTTTTCTTGCTCTTCTCTCCCCATGTCCCTTCCCACATCAGCTTCAGCCATTTCTAGAGTCAAAACTTCCCCCAAATCAAATTAGACTCATAGCATAGAATAACAATCCAAGCCTTCTTTTGTACTCCAGTCAGAACGTCTTCACATAAGTAAAGCTCAAAAGATATGAGCAATGTTTTAAGATAATGTCTTGGAATCGCAATTGGTCCACTGTGCCTAAACTCCATATGGAAGTCACTACATGCTCCCTGACATTTCTCACCAAGGAGAGGGAAGAGGGTAAGGAAGAGGGGGTCTCTAAACTGAAATGCACGGACTTTAGTCTGACCTAATTTATTCTTAAAGTGACTAAAATGGTACAAAAACTTTTCAGCTAATCAAAATAAAATAAATAAGTATAAACACCAAGCTAGGTAATTTTGAAATATATGGGTTCTTTCAATATATCTCTATAATATATATTCACATAAAATGTATACCTGTAAAAAAAAAATTATCTAGACCAGAATAAAATTTAATCAGACTTAAAAACCAGGCAGGCACTTAATATCTGTAAAAGCTATTGAAAAGAATAAACACAAAAGGACTGAAGAAACCAAGAGCAGCAAGTAGCTTTGGAAAAACAGACTGACAGGTTTCTAAAATATTATTGGCATTGAGGGAGGTCTATTTTCGTTTGATAACTATTTTTGTTTAATATCATCGACTTTCAATTTATAGCAAAATTGATACATTCAATTCAGCTGCCTACTTCACAAATACAAATCTATTTTAAATATCATGGTCACATTTATGTAAACATCTGGGAGAGTTCAGCAAAATCTCTCTGCCATTTGGCAGTCCTAACACTTTTCATGGATGTAATTATTTCTTAGCCATCTCATTCTGCTGTATTTTTTGACAATGTGAAAATCAATGGCATAAAAATTAATTCCAGTAAGACAAATGATTAAATCAAACCTTGTTATTTAAATCTATATTTTCCCAACCACTTTCTCTTAAAGCCCATACTCAATCAAATTCAAGAAAATACGGCAAGACATTTTAGAGCATGAAAAAGTTTGAGCATGATAACGGAACCAAGTTGTAAAATATAATTACAAAAGATTACAAAAATGCTATCTCAAACATCTTACTGGTGTAAATTGCATAAACTCTCTCATGCAACATTTGTCATTCAGAATAAAGAGGAAGGAACAGCATTTTTAACACCAACTCCATTTAGGGAATTGGATACCAAAAACTCCCATCTTCAGTAGATTCTTTAATTAAAGTATTTTATTCTATTTGCTCTAGTTATCAAAATGAATCACAAAGAATAAAAGTGTACAATGGAAAACCAATTACCTTATTTTAACAGAGATTAATCTAGGAAGGGCCTGTGTAGTAAGCATCCTATGTTATCTCATTCAAACTATCTGCTAACAACAGCAGGAAAAAGGGTTGTATTCTTACCAATGAATTTCTGAGGCATTGAGCTTTTTCGTTTTGCCACATTGCTTGCTAATCTGTCCAGAACGAGAGCTCTTTCACTTCCCATCTCTGCTTTGATGTGTCTTGCCTCCGCACTTGCTGGTTTGGAAAAACGTAAAAAGAAAAGGGAAAAGAACACGTTGGTAAATGGGGAGAAAAGGAAATAAACTGGAAGGAAAAGTGTCAGAGGTCTGATGCACACTCTGTTGTTACCTGTTATTACTGCTCAGATTCTTGCCTGGGGTACCTGCTGGGGTCAGTGAAGCCAGCACCAGGGCACATTCAAATCTTGCAGTCTTATGCTGAGATGGGAAAGCCCGACCCATCCCCAACCAGTACCTTCATTAGCAAGAGGAAGTATTAAATAAACAGCCTGGACGTGGTTGGTTGCAAAAAGATAGATAGATGGAGATCTTCTAACCCCCGATCAGCCTTCTTTCTGATTCTGAGTAACTGCGTGTGACACCTGCAGACTGATATAATTCTTCTTAACAACTTTGAAAAAAAAGTATGGTGCCCCAGATTTACTGCTCTGTTTATGTTAATAGCACTTTTGAAAATAGATACACTTACCCAGATAGCAAGAAATCTACTCAGTGATTTGTGTATTGAAATTCTGAGTGGTTTTTTCTTTTTTTTCTTTTCCAGCATGCTCCTTTCAGTTCCTATCTTTTAAATTCTATTTCTCTGGGCTCTGCATTTTCTGTTTCATATGCTCTTCACATTTCAAAATTGTCTGTTAAAATTTCCCTGAGCAACACTTCTGTCTTGAAATTAAAGAGCAATTTGTATAATGCATCTTTATTATATTTCTAATGAAAAATGTGAATAAAAACTGCCTAAGATTATGGTCTAATTGTCAGTCCACAAATAGACTTTTAATTGGTCTAGGCCTGTGGTTCTCAGACCTGCCTGAACACTAGAATCACCTGAAGAACACGTAAGAAACACCTATGCCCAGGTCTCCCTTTGAGATCAATTAAATCAGGATCTCTGGGGTAGAGGTCTTGGCAACAGTATTTTTAAAGCTCTCCAGATGATTTTAAAATGCAGCCAGAATTGAGAACCACTAGAAGAATATATAAATAGTGCCAACGTCTAATCAACTAAATAGTAAATTGGAATAAATATAATATAGTTTACCCTGGTACAGTACCCAATAAGAGTTCATGTCTAAAGTTCAAAGAGATACCAGCAGCTCTAAATATAAGGCTTTAAATTTTAACACACAATGCTAGTCCAAGCTAGGCATCAGCAACCGTTTTCTGTAAAAGGCCAGATAGTAAATATTTTAAAATTTGTAGGACACGTATAGTCTCTGTTCCATATTCTTTGTTTTTTCTTCTGACCCACCACCCTTTAAAAATGTAAAAACCAGAGCCTGCCCGGTGGCGTAGCAGTTAAGTGCACACGCTCCTCTGTGGCGGCCTGGGGTGCGCGGGTTCGGATCCCAGGTGTGGACGGATGCACCACTTGTCAAGCCATGCTGTGGCAGTGTCCCATATAAAGTAGAGGAAGATAGGCACAGATGTTATCCCAGGGACAATCTTCCTCAGCAAAAAAAGAGGAGGATTGGCACTGGATGTTAGCTCAGGGCTAATCTTCCTCACACATATACAAAAAAGTAAAAACCCCTGTACACAAACAGGCCACTGACTGCATTTGGCCTGAGGGTCATAGTTTGCTCACCCCTGCCCTAAACAAACATGTTGTGATGCTACAAACATTTCCCTCTGTTTTATCATAAGCATTTTAGGAGGTCCAAACTAAAATGAAGTATCCATACATTTCTAAGGTCTCTAAGGAAGAAAAAACTGAAATTAGTTTAAGGGACTAGAGTAGAAAGTAAGTGATGATTGCAGAATGGAATTTTTTTTCCCCAAATATATACACAGGTTTAGGAATTGTCAGTGCTCATGCTGTAGTTAAAGACTTTTCTGTGTGAGGGGATTCTAACATATAGAAATAATGTCACAAATTCCATGGTCTCTCAGACATTCAATACCACAAATGGACATGCCCAGAGAGAAGAAAACTGGCCACCTTGGCAGTAAATGAGAGACAGAGAAAGACCTCCAGGCCAAGACTGTTAAGTATGGCCAGGGCGAGAGAACGAAAACCAAACTAGAAAAAGAGAATTCAAGATATTCAATATTTTTCATTTTATTAGTAGTATGTTTTTGGTTTTGTTTTTTAAAACTCTATGCCAGTCATTACACAATAAATTATAAAGCTCAGCGGTTTTTAAATTCAGGAATAAAATGAAACCTGGCTCCAATAATGAATAAATGAAGAAGAAGATGACAATGACCATATTTACTAGATTTTGTCAAAAATAATTCTATGTTCTAAAGAAATAAATCCCAGCCTCCAGTTTAAGCTATTAACAACACTGTTTGTCTAAATGAAAACAATAAGGGTCAGAATAAGGGACCTGGGCAGCTTTTGGGCTTGTGGTAAAGCACTGCAACTTTGGCTGACCAACCATAGTAAATAACTGGCACTTTAGTGACAGGACTCTGCTATTGAGCGAAGTGGGTCAAATTCTGTCCAGCACAGGGATAGGTTTAAATGACCAAACAGGAAACTATTATATATATATTATTTCCTTTCACACAAACCACCACCAGATGTGGCACTACCCAGAGCCCCAAGAGCAGAGAGATGAAAGACAAAGGCCTGGGATTTGAAATAAGTTCCTGAAGCTGTTATAAGGAGGCTTTTTCTTAGAAGCATCGGAGAGGCAGCTAAATTTGTGCTTTGGGAGCACTCATTCTGGTTTGAGCAACTTTGAGAGGATTAAATCCCGGTAAGTCTCCCCCCACCCCCATCCTGTATTTATTAGCAAAAAGATTTATAGTGAAATGAGAATGAAAAACAGTACTTTGGGAATTTTTAACTTTATCCCCATTTTACCGCTATTCTTACTAGTCTCGTGCCATCACTCCTCTAACGGCTCAGTCGTTACCCAGAGATTTGTCCATTCAGTCCCAACACTTAATGCAAGCATTATGCTGCTTGCCTAGTTTTCCCCCGTCTCTTGGCTGTTACTGTCTACATTTTACCTAAGTCACTATCAGTTCCCACAAGCAGCTTTCTCAGGACACATACTCAATATTCTCTATATTTGGGAGGATGCTAAAGTGGGGATACATTGACCTAAATAACGTAATTAGGGCATGTCACTAAATGGCAACCTTCTGAGATAACATCACCTTTCATCCCTGTTACTCACCAAGCTTGTCTTGACAGTCATTTCTAGATAATCTTACTCTGCAGATCAGTGACCAAATGCCTGACATTTAAAAAGATAAAATTCTGGAGTGTTCATGGATAGACAGATAACTTGAGGCATGGGCAGAGACTTTCCCATTACCACAACTCTGGTTAAGAGTGAAAGAAATCCTCTAAAACTCATCTAGAGGGCTCCATCCACCCACACCCTCTCCCTGGATTCTTCACTCAAAACATCGACTCCAAGATCCCAACCCTCATTGTACATGTGAACGCACTCCAGAGATTAAGTTAATTCTTACTGAGTTAACTATTTTCCGATTGGCAAACTAGGCAAAGGTTAAAATTTCAATTGAATATGGTGCACTCTCATTTTCTTTCCCAAACTGTTAGTCTTTTGCCTCGCAATTGTTGGACAGCTGCTGCACAATGCCACTAAATGAGCACTCTTTAAAACACAAAGAAATGCTTTGGAGTTAGACAATCTCTTTGGGATTACAAGGAGTTTAGGCAGTACACTGAAAAGAAAAAAAGGACTATTGGCTTTTGGTCCTCTGCTTCAACTTTAAGACCCAACTGTCTATTTATACAGTCTAGACTTGTTATCTTGCCACATCATGTCTCAGAAATGTTAAGTGGAGGGAAACCAGTTTGGCAAGATAGTAAGGGAACAAGATAATGGGTTTAAATGACGAAATAGGAAATCCGTTCCTGGGTGGTGTTAGGCAGTTTAATGTTGCAAGGAGTGGGTGTGGGGAATATAGGATGGGGGCAAGGAACAATTTGCACAGTTGGTTCATGCATGAGCAAAGGAGGAGTAGGACTGTAATTCTGGATCAATTTCCCTTGAGGTCACTTGCCTACCATACAGTAGATATACCAATTTTCATTAGCAAAATGGTTTTAAAGACATGTTGAAAAAATAAATAAAACTAACAGGAAGTCATAATTACAGAATAGGTTACTACCTTTAATCTCTGCACAAGTCTTAACAGTTTCTCTGGTTTTTAGTTAACTGTTTCCATGATGCAATTTCTATCTCAGACAGATTACAGATTTAACTATGTAATTTGTTGTGTTTTTGTTTTTGTTCAAAATCCTTCATTAGATCTTAAAGTGTTAAATGGAGCTCAAATAAAAGGCATTGCTTCCTGTCTCTTCTATGGTGTGGTCAGTCAGTAGCTAATAGCGAGTGGAACAAAGGGATGTCATTGTGCAATAAGAATTGTCTAACCAGAGATTGCTATCAAAGACCGAGGCAGGTTCCAACAAAAAACTTACATAAAATTGTTGCCTTTTTGAGCAAGTAGAATGAATACTACCTGTGAGATGGTATCAATTTTTTAAAAGAATAATCTGTTGGGAAAATGGACTTTTAAAACATTTTTAACTTTTTCTTTGGACTGCTACTTGGTAAAAATATAAGTTTATTCTGGAACTCTCAGGCTTGTATTAGTCCAACTGAAATGATGATAATGAAGATTAAAGGTTTTGACTCCTAGATTCATAAATAAATATAATTATTCAATTACTTTAAAAATCTTGTTATTGCTAGAATTCATTGTCATACAAAAATATGTCCTGCTCCAAGTACTCATAATTTGTGTGAAATGAGGCTAAGTGAATCTCTATACCAGCTGTTAGTCTCTTTCTGGAATAAGGATCAAGCTAATGAGAAAATCCACGGTCTTCTATACTCATTCTTCTTTTCAGGTACACTCCATCAAGACAGCAGAATCGGACTACCTTGATGATGTCACTGGTGATGTCCGGTATAGAGAGTTGGACTGAAGTAGCAATAGCACATGTGTCTCTATTAGACCTTTGTGCTTGTTGGACTGTGAGATCTTCAAGGGTAGGGGCTTAACCTTCACTCATCTTTACAAACAGCTCTGACACAGAGCCTGGCACATAGAGAATCCAACAAATGCTGTCTGAAAAAAAGAAAATGATTAGCAAGGCTAATCAGAAGTCCTGTTGCCCAATATGGCATTCTTTTGCAGACTTGTCTCTAGTCTAAGGCCTTTTCATCTATTCTGCTTCCATAAAGCCCTGCTTCCTGCTGGGGGCAGGTTTGTCCCAAGGCGTGGCTCTCACATGAGGCTGCATTTCAATTTACAGTAAGCACTTGATGAATAAGGGCTGCACCCACAGTAGGAAGGGAGCATCATCACTTCAAAAGCTAGGGATGAAGGGATAAGAAGATCTACCACTGGTGATACTATATTGGTCAGGCTCAGAATGGAACACTACGTCCAGACTGAGACTCTCAATTTTAAGAAGGAAAGAGAAACAGAAACCATATAGAGAGCAGTAGCAATAATTAAAGGATTAGCTTGTGTTAGATGAAACATTCTTTACATTTTGGATTTCAGGAAAACTCATGGGAACTATTTGAAAGAGTAATATATTGACTGACATGCAGTATTTACTATACTTGATTCAGCTGTAACTTTATACATTTTGTAACCTGAAACCACCATTACAACATATTTGTTTTTAAAGAAAATCAAAACTTGCTGACTTAGTTAACCCTTTATTTTTTTGCTGAGACTTAAAGTATGCTGCACGCATCTATCAAACCACCCTATGAAATGCAAATTAACTTAACTTCTGTATTTCAGCATTTCCTGAATCACCTTATACCACTGAAGATAGCGAAAATATTTCTTTTGATACTTTCCTAATTTGAAATTCCTAAAAAAAGTTATGGAGATGGGAAGTAAGGTGGTAAACTTACTTCAAAATCATTAATTAATTTTGAACTTACTGGTCATAGACGGCATTTACTGATTTTTCCCCCTATTTCCAGGAGTATCAAGACACACATTTATGCATATGTGTGTGTCTATTAGTCTGTGTGTTACTATATTTCTTTTGCTAACCAGATAATATATAACCTTTAAAAAAATATAGCTAATCAAGCCATAGTTTCTCAAAGCAGAAAAAGTAGAAAAAACCCAAATGTCCATTAACTAATGAATGGATAAATAAAATGTGATAAATCCATATAATGAAATATTATTTGGCCATAAAAAGGAATGAAGTGCTGATACATGCTACCATGTGGATAAACCCTGAAAACATTATACTAAGTGAAAGAAGCCAGACATAAAAGGCCACATACTGTATGATTCTATTTATGTGAATGTTCAGAATAGGCAAATCCATAGAAATAGAAAGTAGATCAGGGGGCCGACCTGGTGGTGTAGCAGTCAAGTTGGCACACTCCACTTCAGCGGCCCAGGGTTCGACAGTTTGGAGCCTGGGCGCAGACCTACTCACTGCTCATCAAGCCATGCTGAGATGGCTTCCCACATAGAAGAGCTACAACTCTACAACTGTGATACACAATTATGTACTGGGGCTTTGGGGAGAAAAAAGAAAAAGAGTAAGATTGGCAACAGATGTTAGCGCAGGGCCAATCTTTCTCAAAAAAAAAAAAAAAAAAAGAAAGAAAGAAAGTACACTTGATCTTAGCCAAAAGGCCGAGAAGCGATTAAAAGAAAGAAAGTAGATCAGTGGTTTCCAGGGGCTGGAGAAACAGGGAATGGGGACTGACTGCTAATGGGTACAGGGTTTCTCTTGGAGGTGACGAAAATGTTATGGAATTAGATAGTGGTGATGGTTGTATAACTTTGTGAATATATTAAAAACGACTGAATTGCACGCTAAAGGGTGAATTTTATGGTATGTGAATTATATCTCAATACATTTTAGAGAACAAAAAATATGGCTAATCATGAAAACAACGAAAGTTCTGGTGATTTTTAAGTCACTGGATATTTGATGAGTCTCAGTTTCCTCACCTCTAAAATGAGGAGGTAGGATTAGATGCCCTCTTTAGTCCTTCTAGCTTTACATATTAATGATTCTATTTGGAATATAATAGATTTACATAACCTGGGAATTTCTCACGGTAAGAGCCTGGTCTATTGTCTGAAATATGGAACTGCAAGTAAAGATGTCCAAGTGTTGCCTGAGTGACCTTAAGCATGTCACTGAAGATGTCAAAACCCAAGTTTTAGGGTTTCTTTTTTTTTGTGAAAGACAGCAAACATTTCTCTTTAGAAATAAGGAGGAAATCCAACTCCTTGATAAAACCAAAGATGCCATCAGGATAAAAAGCAGAAGCATTGCAAACCAACGGAATTCAGTTGGCCAGCTCCTAACACCATAAAATAGGCTTTATCTAAAACAAAAGTTTCCTCTCACTCAAAACGGGTACAGTTAAACTACTCATGATTTCCACTCCATTTTTCCTGAGTTTCACATTATTTCTGTCATATTTTTATAATCTTTCTGCTCTAGAATATTCAAACTATTCAACCGCCACTACTTTTGTCAAACATCAAATCCCACGAGGATTTGTACTTATTCTAAATAAACAAGCAACTGGTTCAAGTAACCAAATAAAAACGTCAGACAACCCAAGCCGCAGAACCAGGCTGATGGTCAATGGGATGGGACAAAGGACAACTGCAGAGATGTGACACAGAAAAGTTTCAGGTTGTTTCAACTAAAGAATGAATAGGAAATAAAACACGATTGATATATAGAAAGACATCTAGTGTTTCAACCAACTGCCATGAGGTATATAATTCAAAATACTGAACAAAATATGAAATTCCCAAACCCAATTATAAGCATCACAATAAATCATATGAGTAGACAAGTATATGATTTTTGGGCCTTGTGCAAAGAAAGTCATTGTGGTTTTAATTGATTCTGCCCTAGCTACCCCTCAAGCTCCTCTACCTTCAACTTTGCCATTTCAGTTAATGGCAACTGCATTCTTCATCACATCCCACGTCAATCTGTTAGGAAATCCTGTTGGCTCTATCTTTAAACGATATATAGAATTAGAACACATCTCACCACCTCTACCACAACCAAGACACAATCTTCTCCTGTTTGAATTATTGCAATGGTTTTCTAACTGGAGGCCCCAATTTCTTATCTTGCCCCAAATACAATCTATTCTCAATAGCAAGTAGAGTGATTCTTTTCAAATGAGAAGTCTAATCATGTCACCTCTCTGTTCAAAACTCTCTGAAGATTTCCAATTTCACTCAGAGTAAAAGACAGTCTTTACAACGGCCTATGGGGCCTGGTAAGACCTGGTTTCCCATTTCCTCATTGGCCTCATGTCCATTACTCTCTCTGCTCCAGCCACACGAGACTATTTACACTTCTTCAAACTCAAGCCCCAGGGCCTTTGCACTTGCTATTTCCTAGTTATCTGTAGGGCTCTCTCCTCATCCCTTTAAGTCTGTTAAAATGTCACCTCATTGAAACCTTCCCTGACTTACCCTCAGTCCCCAGTACCTGCTTTGTTTTTCTCAATAGCACTTACTACCTTCTAATATACTGTATAAGTTACTTATTTACTTTGTTTATGGTCTGTCTTTCCTTTTTAAAATATAAACTCCATGAGGACAGTATTTTTGTCTTTTTATTTACCGTTGTAGTCCATCACCTAGAACAGTAGATGCTCACTAAATGTATGTGGAATGAGTGTTGCATGAACTCACCAGTCTCACCCAGGTCAGTGCTCTGAAGAAATGTACGGCAGCGCTCCTTGTGCTCCTCAAGGGAACTTCTCTGCTTGTAACTCCTTCCGCAAAACTCACATTTATAGGGTTTCTCAACTATAAGGAGAGCACAAGGGGCACTCAGTGACCCTCAGGGGTTACAGAACAAATGGTGTATTAGGGCTACTCTGTGAAAACTGTCCACAAGGAACGAGACTGTTGAGAGAAGCTAGAGTATTTGGATACTTTTGCATCTATATTACTTTTAAATTTAGTAAACTGAAATAAGGTTAAGGTCTACGATTGATTATTATGTTAGAGTGTGCTTCAAAAGGATAGCCTCCTTTCACAAATGAAAGGATTTAGATTTAATGATTATCACTGAGCATAGTGTTTTGGCTCCAGATCCAATCTTGTTTCTTTAGGGAAAAAAATAGGGCCTTTTTATTCTTCAAGGAGGTTAGTGTGGTTTAAGAATGAAATAGGAAGAGACCCCTTATTTTGTGACATCCATCTGGCTGTAAATAAAGAATGCTGCAGTTTGTGGCAGTTAGCCATTCACCGAGAAACTGATGGCCTTTTTAGAGCATTGGCATTTTTAGATAAATCTGGCTCATCCTTGCCAAGTGGCTACAGCAAAGTCTGGGCTAACTCAATAAAAACTGAGCTAACTGAGGATATTTCTGAATAATAGAAATAAGAATGAATTGAAAAAATGACTTCATCTTCATTTCTAAGATAAAGTAAAAGTTTCCTCAAAAGTTCATCCATACAATTCAGGCCCCCTTTATCCTCCCAACTCCTCCGAATGCTCTACTGCCTGAAATATGGAAGTAATAACTTTAACCTTGTGTGCAGGACTGGCTTTTCTGATTTGTTGATAAAGTATTCCCTATGAATTTGTCAGAGTTTTAGGGACTGAGATTTTTATTTTCTAATCCTCTTGCTCTGTTTAAAACAGAGCCTTTGGGACTTAAAGCACTAAAAGATCTGTATGGAATCCCAAATTAAAATAAATGCAGGTGTGCTAGGGCTAAAAATGTTAAGTTTCTGCATAAATTGGGGTCCTCTAGAATCTGTCTTAATAATGACTACTATTGTTGGATTGTACTTGAAAAAAGCAACAGAAGAGAACTATTCTAATTTTGGGGACCAAACTCAGCCTTAATTCATTATTTTGAACAATGAGCTGTAAAAGAAACCTTTCTTTGGCCACTTATGATCTCTCATGGTGGGTTTTGTTGGGGCTGACTTGTTTAATCCTTAGTCTCTGAATTGTGACCAGTTGCGGGTTGGGGCTGGGTTTTAGTCAAAGCAGTACGTGGATTAACAAAAAAACAAACCTTTTTTTTTCTCTCTTCAATTAAAATTTTGTCAGATAACATCAAGAACATGAGGTACCAAATTTGAAAATAAACTCAGTTTTATTTTTCTAGAGGGGAAATTCTAAATGTTGAAAAAAACTGTATTATCTCGCTTGGTTAAAATAAGGAGTAAAAACAGCAAGACAGAACCTAGCTTTTTATGAATTCTTACTGCTGCTCATCTTTTAGGGATTAAAAATAAATAGGCTGAGCAAGAAGAAAGTTGGGTTTAAGAAATTTAGCCCATCTATACCTAAAACTCATATAATGTTACATTGTCAATTACATTTCAATTAAAAAAAAAACAACAGAAATTTATCCCAGAATGGCCCCCAAAACCCCAAATTTGACCAGAATGGTCAAAAGTAACCCTCTAATAATGATTTATACCCAGTTTACAGTTCATATAATTTACAAACTGTACATCATTTGTTTGTCCAGACTTTTGAATGAAAAATGTGTGTGTGTGTTTTTAGGAAAATAATCTTTTAATAAAGTTTACCATAAGAAAATACTGATGGCTATAATTTCTTAGCAAAAATTTAAAAAAGCGTTTTTATAGGGCAGGTTCTCCCTAAGTGTGTTGTTCTCTAGGGGAGCAAGGATGGTAAGGAGATGATCATCCCCATTGAGCCAGACGGAGAGCAATTAATGCCTTAATGGAGTGTAATTAGCCCTAGAGGTCTCTGCTGTTGTAACCCTTCAGAACAGGAATGACAGATTAAAACCTCCATACTTAACTCTTTCTAGTTTCTGCAATGGGCACTGAGGAACACACGTTTACTAGATATGGAATGCTCATTGCTCTCACTTACCAGAATGTGTCCTAAGATGACCTGTGAGTGCATCTCTTCTCTGGCATGCGTAGTTGCAGAGGTGACACTTAAAAGGTTTTTCCCCTGTGTGCAGTTTAATGTGGCGGAGGAGGTTACCTTTCTGAGTAAAAGATGCCCCACACTGATTACACTGGAATGGGCGTTCACCTTTAAAAAGGACAAAAAGGAGATTTCTGATCACCGGCAAGTGGAGAAGCATATGCACAGATTAGATGCCTATGGCAAAAGCTCATCTTTTAGACAGTTTCTGTTCATACTGGGATGGGCTGGGAGCTGTATTTCAAGGCAAGCATAAGATTTACTTAATGGAATCTTCCCTCTAGAAGAGAAAAAGCACCCCCAAGCAAGGCTATTTTAGGTATCCTCTTGTCTTGGATCAGAGCAAAGAAACAAGAACAGCTCTAGAAGTGCTTTCTACATATAAGTCTTTACATTACTTAGCACTCCTTTTGAATATAATCTCAGTCTGAAAAAAGAGTCACAGACTCAAGTCCTAATAAAGTATTGAGGGCCAGAAATGCTTCTTTTTAAAGTCTTTATACCAGATGTCAGATGGAATCTATCGGGCTCAGTAGGACTATAGTATTTGCATGCATTTCTATAGACTGCCTGTTTATTGTCTGAAGATAAATTTTTAAAAACTGGCCATAAAACTATATCCTTTCATTTACCAAATTTGAACCCAATACAATAAGGAGATCTGCTTTTTTAAAAGTTATGCAGAAATATATGAAAGATGCCTAAGAAGCAAATTGCACAATTCAACTCCTACTTATTAACTGAAAAAAAAAAAAAATTTGGCTGACCTAGAACACTGTGCTCTCTACAGTCTTTTTTTATTCATAGTATTTGCAGTATGTTGCCAAATGCATGGTGAAGCAGGAATAAAAATCACTGGGTAAACGGAAATGCAAAGAAGAAGAGATACATGAGAATTATAGCAAAAATCAATGAAAGTAGTCAAAAGTCGTCCCAAATTCCACCACTTCATTTCTCACATGGCTGCATTAGGAGAGTTTTCAGAAGAATGGATAAAGGAGACTATTTACCAGTATGGCTCCTCTTATGAACCATTAAGACATTGAAGCTAATGCAGGATAATCCACACACATCGCAGTTCATCTTGCCACTGGTTGGCCTGCTACTATCATACGAGACAACGTGTCTCTCCAACTTAACGTTTTCATATTCATTATATTCTCTTGAATAGCTGTAAGGAATTTCAGGCTCTTCTGCATTTCCCATGGGCTCTGGCTTTAAAACATTCTCATCCCTTTCACTGTATTCATCTTTCACTTTCATTGAATCATCTGCAGGGAGGAAAATGCAAGAAATGAACAATGATTGTATTTGGGGCTATCAAAGCAGCTCCAAGAGCAGAGACCCACAACTGACAATTAAATACCAAATGAAGCTAACATAATATTGTACATTTACAAAACAAGAAAACACCATTAGGATGATTACTCATTATTTGAATTCAGAACCACAGTCAGGGGAAAACACAGTCACACACACAAAAATAGATGACAGCGTTTTAGGCCATCCAGAAAATTAGAGATAATAGATTTTAGCTATGACTGCTCAAAGAAACCATGAAAAAAACATTTTTAACAACTGTTCTCCAGTACTGGGGTAAAGAAAGGTTCTCAGATCTAGTACCTTTTTGGTGGCTGCAGTTAAAAGGCAAGGTGATGTGCTCTTTGGTTTCATGAAGAAAAAAACTTTTAATCCTTCAAATGTATCCAATTTAAGCCATTAAGATTGAGAGTTGACTAGTTAATATAGTTTTTCTGATTTTAAGCCATGCTTCGTCTCTTCTCCTTCCATGTATAGGAACTGTTAAAAGAGTCTTATCTCCCTCTATCTCGGAACTGATAAAGAGACAACATTGAATGTAGAGGAAGCTGGCAGTACCAATGAAATACTGTTGAGAAAGATAAAAGGAGAAGTAATTCTTTAAAATAACCTTCTAAGGAGTCACTTTCATTAACACAGGGAAATAGAGCTCAATCTAAGCAAGGGGAAGGGCACCTATAGGGAAGGATGAACTCAAGATCCTAGAATTACAGGACTGGATAGGAGAGAAGGGATTGGCTCAAGTGAGTTGGCTGACCAGGTACTATCTTAAAAAGAGTTACAACACTCTTAAGCTGAAGAACATAAGAAATGAAGAAGGCAAAATTAGGTACTGACACTAACAAAACCTAAACATTTGCCTGATGTAATAATAATAAACATTTGTAAGGAATTTTTCATATATAAAACATGCTGCATAAATGCTTACTTTTTCAAACATTCATTCTTAGAAATTGGAAGTTGTACTTCCCCATGAGGAATCACAAATCAATGGAATTTTAAGGGCTGGAAGGGAATTTAGAGATCATCTAATCCAGCCCTCTTTTTTTCCCTGTATAAGGAAATACAGGTACAGAGATGTTCTTGGTGATTTGTCCAAGGTTACACAGCCGATTAATAGCAGATGTGTGATTAGAATGCTGAACTTGGATTTGGTCTCACACACTAGACATATAAAGTCTAAGTGGCTTCTTACTAACATATTCCACACTCTCCTACCAATGTGTAGCCGTTAAAAACCAAAACACTCTGAAAAAAAGATATTTGAAAAAACTACATCCCTTCCAAAAAACACCAGTAAGCGCAGCTCCTGTTGCCACATAGGAGGAAGTACAACGCAGCTGCGCTTGGCTTGCTACCTTCAACTCAAGTTTCAATTTTCACTTCTATCAAGGTTACCTTTCATCTATATTAACTGTGTTTGCTTAATAGAGCAAGACAGGGCCTAACCACCAACAGAGGAGCCATTGCTGCAACTCTGTTCCACTGCTTCTCACCACGGTTCACGGTTCACAACCTTTCACTCTTTGATTAGAAGAGATGGAGGGCTGTAGGATAAGTCCAACATGTTTCAAATTTGCCCATCCTATGCATTTGGGTTATATATAAATTGATGTCTATTTCCTACATGGAAAGAGATCCATTCCCTTCTTTCTCTGGACAGGTCTTGCCTGATTTCAGATGGAATTTGTTTGCTTTAAGTGGTTTTTGTTTTTTTTAAAATTTTTTAAGAGAAGGATGCACCTGAGGCTTGTACCCTCCTCCCTTCCTCCATCACTCCAGCTGTGGGTGATATCCCACCAAAGCTTGAGTGCTCTTCAGTTTGCATGTAGGCGTTTAAAAGAACCTCAACGGAAAACTTTAGCTACTGAAAACCAAAAACAGCAGATAGAAAGGGCCAGCAGAAAAGGATCCTTTTCATTTTAGTTATAAAATGTTAATATGAACAGACTCAGGCCATTCTGTGGTCAGTGACAATGAAAAACTAGTAAGATTAATGTGTGGGGTCTTTCTGAAAACAGAGGACATAAGAGAGTTTCTCCTTCCCTCAGGATTTTGGCTTTAATGGGTCTGACCTAGAACTCAATACTACATCGACCTGGCTCAAGATAAAATCTTGGCTTTAGTCCTTTAGGACTTAGCTGTAGAACAAGAAAGACAGTATTTGAGACCCAGGGCCCTAAGGGAAAGCATATGAGTCACATGGACAGGGCATTAGGGAAGTTCCTTGGACTTACTGGACCAAAAGAGTTCCTGGTATAGTTGTTGGTTTGCCTTTGGAGTCTTACCAGTTTTAGATAAAAGACCTGGATGGCCTCTCTGCATGGTTACTGGGATCAACAATTCATTATGATTTACCATGTGAAGGTAAACAGAGTTGAATATTAGAATACATTAGTATCTAAGATTCTAATGGGATTCCTGAGAGATTATTGGGCTTAGCACCCAGCCTCCAAATACAGTCCACCAAAACTACCAGGAAAGACACTAGTCTGCTCTAATGAAGAGATTCATTCCATCCCTTAGGAGGGAAGATTTATTTGAGCAGAAGAAAGGGGGGCATTCTACTTAGTATCCCTTGAAAATATTAATAAATGTGTCTAAAATAAAACGTCATCCTTGAACCCAAACTTGCTTTTAATTTATGACTTCTTTTTATTTACAAATGGAATCTTCCTTCTTCCAGTCTCCAAGTCTTGAAACTGGAATCCTTTTCCTTTCGAATCTCCACATCAAGTCTCTGAGACCTCTAGATTCTACGTCCTCAGGCTCTAAAATTCTCTTTGTAATTTAGTTTAGCCTCTCATCTCATCCTCTCTCACCATTAGACTTACTACAAAAGTAATCTATGCTTACTGCCTCTACATCCTCAAAACTGATGTAAAATTCCGTGTAATCTGTCTTCTGCTTCCATAATTCACTGAATCTGCTCCCCTGAAGATCAATAATCTCCTGATTCTTAAATCTGAAGGCTTTTTGTATGCCATTCCCCCAACTTCTCTGCAGCCCTTGACACTTTTGACCACCATTCCTTGTTCTATACTCCTATTTCTTTTTTTTTAATTTTATTTATTTCTTTTTTTCCCCCAAAGCCCCAGGAGATAGTTGTATGTCACAGCTGCACATCCTTCTAGTTGCTGTATGTGAGACGCGGCCTCAGCGTGGCCGGAGAAGCTGTGTGTCGGTGTGCACCTGGGATCCGAACCCGGACCGCCAGCAGCATAGCGCACGCACCTAACCGCTAAGCCACGGGGCCGGCCCTATACTCCTATTTCCTCAATGAAACTGTACCTCCTTTCCTTACCTTTCTGATGGCTTCTTTCTAGCTCCTTTGCCTCCCTCTGCCTCCTAATCACTGTCCTTAAACCTCTTTTTTCTTCCTTCCATACCTCCTTCCCCATGGCAATTTCATCCACTCTTAAGGCTTCAACTAGCATTTTATATGATTAGTCCCCAAATATACATCTCCAGGTGTGATCTCTCTCCCATTCTTCAGCAGTTTATTCCCAAAGGCCTCCTAGGTATTTTCCCAGTTACTCAGGCTAGAATCTTTACAGTCATCTTTCCTCCCTCTTGTTTGCACCCCTCCTTGGTTCTATTTTTGTACCCTCTCTCCAATCTGCTTCTCCTTCCCACTGTTTTGCATACCCATTATCCTAAATCTTAGACTCTGATTACCCTCTCCAAGACTTACTGCGGTAGCCTCCACGCTGTTCTCTCTGCCTCCTTTCTCCCTCCTTTTCAACTCATTCTGTATACTACCACCAGAGTGTTCTTCCTAAACTATGGCTCTGGTCATATCGTGACCCTGTCAAAATTCTTTAATATTCCCTGCTGCCAACAAAATAAAGTCCAAACTCAGAAACAAAGAATTTAAAAGGCCTTTCAATATCTGGCCCCAACCTATCTTTGTAATGTTGATTTTCAATACTCAGATATCTTAAGCCAAACTAAACAATTTCTAAGTATTCTTGCTTTTATTATTTCCACTGCCTAAGAGGTCTTTCCCCAACACTGCCACAGGTCCAAATCCTACACTTTCTTTAAGGCCAAACTAATATGCCATTTCCCTGCACTATGCCTTCCCTGATCCCCACAGCTGCAAAATAATCTGTTCGTTCTTTCTCTGCGTTATTTATAAACTCACCTCATCTCCTATTTGGACACGTAAGCTATCTGAGGGCAGAAGCTACACAGGTTTGTATTTTTGTTTTTTTAAACTCAATATCCCCTATGACACTGTAACCTGTGTCTGTAAGACCAGAGGTTGTGTGGTTTTAAAATAGAAACTAGGGGGAGGGTCCCACCGTAGATCTACTAATCTGGGTGTGGGGACTGGATACATGCATTAAAAAGCATGCTCTCTAGGTAAATCTTATGCGTAATGGAGTTTGAGAACCACTGCTCTAGAGTCTGACACAGTGCCCTACATAAAGTGCATACCCAATAAATACTTAGTACATGAATACACCACTGCATTAGCCTCCTGACTGGCCCACAGTGTATGTGACTTCAATTTTATACTATAACCTATTGATAGATTAATCATCCTGTGGCACTAAAACCCCTGTTCAGAAACTTTCAATGATTTCATTTTGCTTACAGAATAAAGTCCAAACTCCTCGCGAGGCATTCAAGGTTCTGTCTAGAATCTGCTCTGAGCCTACCTGATCATCTCATTTCTCACTAGCTATGATTTCCTTGAATCATCCTTTTCTCTAGACTAGAACCTTGCTCCTCAAAGTGAGGACTTTGGATCAGCAGTTCCAGCATCTCTTGGGAGCCTGTTAGAAATGCAGACTCTCAAGGCCTAACCCCAGACCTACTGGATCATAATTTGCATTTTAACAAGATCCTCAAGGATTCTTATGCATGTTAAAGCTTGAGAAGCACAGCAGCAATCTAATCAGTTTTCCAGTCTTTCCAACACCTAAAAAAGCTTCTTTTCCAG